CAGCCTCTACCCAGACCCTGACCCAGGCGGCCTAGGGCTAAGGAGCTGCAGAGGCTCCCTGGAGCGATTATTGGTCGCGATCGTGATTGATTATTGATTAGCGATCAGGCAAATCACTGATTAAAGCACCAGGTTGCACTCAGACAGACCCCACCTTTCCCATCAGCTGCTGGCAGCTACTCCCTACGTACAGTTTCCCGGAGTTTTCAATCCCGCTGGCAGTGTTTTCCCGTTCATTTATTGGGAATACAAAGGAAAAAAATATCCGAGGCCTCTTTAAAGATAATTGTCTTTCAAAAAGGGGGTTTGCGAAGCATTTTCTCTCCTGGACTTGGATTTTTTTTTTTTTTCCCGTTTGAGCCGAAGGAGAAGCACGTCCATGGTTCACGTAAGCCACTGCCGTTTGCGGAGGCTCTGTGGATCTCGTGCAAACGACGCAGCCTTTCCCTGTGTTCTCTTCCACACCAGACCCTCTCCCTATCCCTCTTGCAGCCCTGGTCGCTGCCCAGCAGGCTCCCCTCCGCCTGTCGGACGGGCCGCACCGCTGCGCTGGCAGGGTTGAGGTCTTCTACAGGAACCAGTGGGGAACGGTGTGCGATGACTGGTGGGACGTGGAGGACGCCAGCGTGGTGTGCCGGCAGCTGGGCTGCGGCATGCTGCTGTCGGCCCTGGCGTTGCAGGGCAGGGTCCGGTCCCATCTGGCTGGACGACGTCAAGTGCACGGGGATGGAGGTTGCCCTGTCCCACTGCAGGACGAAGGGCTGGGGCAAGAACAACTGCCACCATGGCGAAGACGCCAGTGTGGTGTGCTCAGGTAATGCCCCGTGGAAGTTATGGGGCAGGGGAGGATGATGACACATGGTCTGCAAAGCAATTCTCTCGCCAGGAGCGCTGACCCCGCCGTTTTCCAAAAGCTCCCCGTGGCACAGAGCCCCCACGGCCCCAGCAAGGGATGGTTTTTCGGTTTGTCCCATACAAGGGACTGCAGACTAGGGAGTGATTTGGGAAGCAGGCTTGGAAACGTTATCCGTGCTAACTCCACCTTCCTGAGAATGCCAGGAGGAGACACCCAGGTTCCTCCTCTCCAGCACCAACACCAGAGACAGGATGGTTTCCCTACTCTTGCCTCTAGCGAGCCACAACCAGCTGGAGAGTGCTCTTATGGCCACAAACTGTGGTCCTCCAAAAGCTTGGAGCTCCGAAAGATTGGAGCTCTAGTGGCAGATCAAGACGTAGGCACTCATGGCAACTGGTAGATGCTGGAGGCACTGGTGCCAGAATTGTCCCAACAGGCATCGGCATGCAGGTGTGCTGAGCCCCCTTGGTTGTCACCGCCACCTGCAAAGTGGTGCCCCGCGAACGCCAGGGAAAAAAGCTTTCCTCCTTCTCCTGGCCCAGCATCCTCAGCATCTCCAGCCACAGCTGGAAAGACCACAGGTTGCTAGGACCACATGGCATCACCCCCCTCCCAGTCCTGAGGTGGCTGCGTGTTGGTAGCAACTGGGCACAGCTAACAACTGTAGTGGAGAGCAGAATGGTCCCAAAGAAACGAGGGACAGGGAATTTTCATGGTGCACCTCTTGTGCCCTCTGTAGATTCATCCAGCCACCCTTCGGCCATCCATGCTGGTCCTGCAGAGCTCCGCCTGGTGAACGGCCCGAACCACTGCTCTGGAAGAGTAGAGGTGATGCACGACCATCAGTGGGGAACCGTGTGCGACGACGACTGGAGCCTCCCCGATGCCAGCGTGGTGTGCCGGCAGCTGGGCTGCGGGACGGCAGTCTCAGCCTACGGTGCGGCTCACTTTGGCCAGGGATCGGGCCCCATCTGGCTGGACAACGTTCAGTGCTCTGGGACCGAAGCTGCCCTGTCCGAATGCCTGGCCAGACCTTGGGGTGTCAACAACTGTCACCACGGAGAAGACGCCGGCGCTGTGTGCGCAGGTAACACCACGCTTGTGGGCCAGGAGGAGAATTCCAGCAGAGGATGCTCTGCTCTGGCGATCCCTACTGGTTTCACAGCGGCAGCCAAGGGCTGGGCAGCAGACACCTGGATGGGTGACGTTGTCCCTCATATCCCAGCATGCCACGCTGGCACTTTTTAGCACACAGGACCATGAAATTAAGGAGCAGCAGGGATAACGGGAAGGGAAGGATGCCCTTTGGGCAGCACACAAAAAGCGCACTCCCGTAGGCACCGAGGCAAGAGGGGAAGAACCGGACCAGGTGCCAGATGGTCCTAGAAAGTCCCAACCCACCACTTTATGGCAACCAGTAGCCCACAGACTGTGCAGGCATGGGGTGGGGGGCCCTGAAGTCTTTTTGAAGAAAGGGCTGTGGCAATAGTGGTC